GATGATGGACCTAGAGGTTAAAGAGGACAAAGGGAGGGCTTCTGGAAACCTAGTGGAAGAACACATGACTGTTAACAGAAACCTTTTTCCCGACTTGGTAACAGGAAGTGGTCCCACACAATCAACCACTATATGTTCAAAAGGTGTGGTAACCACAGGCACAGGATATAAAGGAACCGGGTGTATTTTCTGGTTAGGTTTTCCGACTAGCTGACACACATGGCAACTCTTACAGAATTCAGCTATTTGCTTTTTCATACCAGGCCAGAAGAAATGCTGTAACAGCAAGTTATAAGTCTTATTAATCCCTAAATGACCCGACCAGTCACTTTCATGTGCCAAGGAGATGATTCTTTCCCTGAAGGGCGTGGGTATCACTATTTGTTTAATCATTCCCCAGTCCGCGCCTTGGGCAGAAGGCTGGGACCAACATCGGAACAATATTCCATCTTCTAATTGATATTTACTCTGACCCGACTGAATATCAGCTGTAGGGTCCACTCGGTCAAATAAATCCCGTAAACTTTCATCCTCCTGTTGCATAGATGAAAGGATGTCAGCAGATATAGGAAAATTTGGGGAGTTAGCTTTCTCCTGCTTTAAACCACCCGGGGCGGGGCTTTCCTCCTTTGTCTCCATTTCAGATAGGAGAGGCTGCAACACAGAATCTTCTAGGATGATGTCAGAATTGTCAAGACCTTTTTTCTGTGACCGAGTAACAACACACATGGGAAAAACATCAACAGGTTCAGGTAAAATAGGAACCTCTACCAGTTCAGGAGTAGGGTTGACTTTTCCACCAGCCAAATCATTCCCCAACAACACATCTATACCTGGAATGGGCAGCTCTTCACAAATAGCCATCTGCACATCGCCACTTATAATCGGACTGTTTAACTGAATCTTATGTACGGGGCTGGGCATAGTTCCCATTTCGATTCCTTTTAATAACACAGAAAACCCAACCGCACTAGCTTCAGAAAAGGGCAACACTCTTTTGCAGATGAGGGTCTGGGAGGCTCCAGTATCCCTCAAGATTTTTACAGACACTTTAAGATCTGGAACGTCTGGTAATGACACGTGTCCCATAAAGGTAAAGGGCTCAAAACACTGATCAGAAACATCTCTGTCCTCAAGGTGACCGACTGGAGCGGAAACATGAGACCTTTTCACAAAAGCCACACTTTTATTTCTAGGAGGACTCTTCTCATTCTTCCGTCTTAGCTGATAACAATCTCGGATTAAATGACCCTTTTCACGACAATAGAAACACTCCCTGGTTTCTCGTTTATTAGGATCGGGGGAGGAGGTTCTTCTGGGCCCGACGGGAAATTCCTGTTTTATCTCTCTCTCTATGTTGTGCGTGAGTGAGAACTCATCAGCTAGCAGGGCCCCGGCGCACAAAGACGTCACTTTTTGTTCATTTAAATATTGAACAATCCTGTCGGGTATTTGCCTTTTAAATTCCTCTAACAGGATTAATTCACGTGGTGTCTCGTAAGAATTTACTTTACTTGCAGAACACCATTTTTCAAACTGAATGCTTTTTTCACGAGCAAACTCTGTGTAGGTTTGACCATCCAAAGGTCTTCCGCGTCGGAACCGCAGACGATAAGCTTCCGGCATAAATTCATAAGCTGTTAATATGTTAGCTTTCACACAGTCATAATCTAGGCTATCATTTGCAGACAAAGCCGACATTACTTCCAAAGCTTTTCCAGTCAACTTACATTGCAGAAGCAGAGGCCAGACGTCCCGAGGCCACTGGAGAGCCGACGCGATCCGTTCAAAAGCCACAAAGTAGCCGTCCACTTCTGCTTCTCTAAAACTGGGCATCAGAGGAATGCATTTGCCAAGATCAAAAGCGTGATAGGAGGAGGGCGTACTGTATGTCTCTGGTGCTGGTTTTATGGATGAACGATCGTCCGGGCTCGAAGGTGGGTCAACACGGGACTCTTGTTTCACCTGGGCATCTGCTTGAGCTTGCAGCTCTAATTGTCGTATCCGCACAGCTGTGTCGGCGTTTGTCTGAAGATCCAATCGTCTCATTTCCAACTCCGCCTTTAGTTTCCTCTCTTGTGCCCGTTCCTCGGCTTCGATCTGGAGCTGGGCCAACCTGATCTTTAATCGGAGTCTCTCTGGAGAGCGGGGAGAATGAGGGGGCGAAGGCTGAGCAGGTTCACCTTCCGAAGATAGAGGTGAGGGAGGGGGCGAACCCCGAGGAACTGCAGTCTCCTCCTCACTCATTGCCGCTGGAGCACCGGCATCCGAAAGGGGCGGGATCACACCTTGATCCGTAAGAAACTCAACCACAAAAGTCCGTAGCTCCTCTTTTCGGAGTTGTTTTGGGACTTCTAGTTCGAAGTGGGCGGCCACTTGTAACAAATCGGTTTTACGGCAACCCTCCAGCAGCCGGCGAGACGGGGCCTCCACAAAAGCCCGTAAATTGAAGGAGGCCATCAGGTTTCAGTCGCCTGAGTCTGCAAAACAAAAACACCTGTTACTCACACTCACACACACGCACCAGGGGATCTTTTTAACCACAACGTTGATGTTTTATTAAATAAAATCCCGGACGAGCCCCCATTTATGTTACAAACCCTAGGTGTTAAGCGTTGTGGCAAGGGGTAACATAAAAACTGATGTGGAGAAAGGAGGGGTGAGAGTAAATAAAAGGGTTTTATTTCGCAGAAGTCAACCCAAAATACACAGTCCTAGACTGGAAAAGTTCAAAATGAATGTACTTAAACAAACCACACGAAGGAGAAACTGGAGATAACTCAAAACACCTGGGACAAACGGTCCCGGGGAGGAAAACACGACAATACCTATAGATCTAGAAACGAAAAACAAAGAGCCAGAACTAACTAAAAACCAAATCTCGACGGCTATCAATATTATTACAAACACAACTTAAAGCGAGCTATAAAGCTAAAAACGAAAACAAACGGCCTCACTGGGGCAGAATCAAACAGATCTTCCAAACGAACCAAGGATACTATTTACTGTTAGCTGAAGTCAAACCAAGTCAATCCGAATTACCAAACCGAGCTAATCGAGGAGAGAAAGACAGAGGTTTAATCTGTGGTTCTCCCGCTGAGAAACTGAAACAGGAATCTTTTAAGAGCGTCTCATCAGCGGTAGACTGTCCGCAGCTGAAGCAGAGTGGGCGGGCCGAGGCGGAGGCCAGCCTGATGGAGGACCTGTCCAAGGTCCTGAACAGCAGAGAGGGAACAGGACCGGGCCATACAAGGTGCGGGAGCCCAGGATCCGTAACAGCCCCCTCCTTCAACAAAAAAAAAAGGAGAAAACAGTAAGACTTGAACCAAAGACTGATGTCTAACTTTTTTTCTTTTACCATTATCAACAGTATCTTTAATACCATGAGGGCTCCCGCTAGCTACCTATCCAGACATTTGCTAACTAACCCCTACTTCTTCATGTGGACTAGAGGTGGGCTGATTAAACAGAAAATATCAGGCGGTGCTGATCCCCAGTACCACCGACTGTTCCCGAGATGTCTGGAGAACCAGGCAACGCTAACCTCTATCACCACAACACTACAGAAAACAACAAACAGACTTGCCTTAAAGAGGAGGAGTCTCTACCACCTACCAGGGAGACCCTCACGGAATTTCAAGATTCAGACAGCCACGAGAGAAACCATCTGCCAAGACATTATTGGCACCACTCTTGTGACGAATTTCGATGGGGAACTCCTGTAAAAGCAGGGCCCATCGCATTAGTCTCTGGTTGTGGTTAAACATTCGTTTTAGAAAAACCAAGGGGTTGTGGTCGGTGTAGACGATGGTGGAAGAGGAAGAGTAGCCAACATAGACGTGGAAATGCTGTAGTGACAGAATGAGGGCTAAGGTCTCCTTTTCGATTGTGGAGTAGTTCATCTGATTTTTAGTGAACTTTTTGGAGAAGTATCCCACAGGGTGGTCAATCCCATCCTGGTCTTCTTGCAGGAGCACCCCACCAGCCCCCACAGCACTGGCATCTACTTCTAGTTTAAAGGGTTTCATTAGGTCCGGAGCTGCAAGAACAGGAGCACAACACATGAGGTTTTTCACAGCCTCAAAAGCTAACTGTGTTTCAGGAGTCCATACATAACGCGTCCTTGTGCTTAACAAATCGGTCAGAGGTTTAGCTACTGTAGAGAAGTTTCTACAGAAACCACGGTAGTAACCCACCATCCCCAGAAATCGTCGTAGCTCTCGCCGTGTCGAAGGAACCGGGAAAGATGCCATAGCTCGAATCTTATCTTGTAACACTCTAACCTGACCTTGACCTACCTCCTTGCCCAAATATTTTACAGTGGCTTTGACGAACTCACATTTCGCCAGATTTAAAGTGAGCTGTGCTTGTTTCAGTCGACCAAATACCTCACGTAGGGTTTTCAGATGTTCGGGCCAGGTGGAGGTGTAAATAACGATGTCGTCTAAGTAGGCGCTACAATGAGGAAGATCAGACAACACAGAGTTAATCAGACGTTGAAAGGTGGCAGGAGCATTTCTCATTCCAAACGGGAGAACAGTGTACTGGAGAAAGTTATCAGGAGTTACAAATGCAGAAATTTCAGAAGCTCGAGGAGTTAACGGAATCTGCCAATTACCTTTCAAAAGATCTTGTCGAGTTACGAAAGTAGCAGCACCCACGCTGTCTACGCAATCATCTACCCTGGGAAGGGGGAAAGAATCAGCCACCGTCACCGCATTAACTTTACGGAAGTCGGTTACAAAACGAAAGGTACCATCGGGTTTTTTCTCCAAAAGACAAGGAGAACTCCAGGGACTCTTGCTGGCCACTGCCAGACCATTCTTAATTAAATATTCCGTTTCCTCTTTCATCATCTTAGGTGTGTTCTTGCTGTGTCTTTCTAAATCCATGCTTGTCGTTCTTTTTTAAACACAGAAACAGTTTTGTTTACCTGTTATTGACGCTACAGTTTCGCCGACGGCTGCCGGCTTCTTCAGGCTGACGCTGATGGTGGCGCGTCACTTCCTTCTCCGTTTATCTGCGGGCAGCAGAGGACGTTGTCGCCCTCTACTGCCCGCTCTCCCCTCTCCGACGATGCAGTCCCATGCGTGGTCCAGCGTGTAAACTCCGTCGTCCCTGTTCATGGTCCCACATCCACGTCTCCTTATCTCGATTGCTTCCTTGATCCATCTTTTGTATTTTTGTTGTTCAGTGGTTATGATCCGTGTGCTGTCCCAGTCCATTATATGGTTTTCTCTTAAGCAATGATCTGTTACGGCTGACTTTTTTATTGTACTTTCTGCTTCTTCTTTTGCTGCTCTTGTGTGTTTACGATTTGCCTCTTTCTCACACTCCTTTCTATGTTCTATTGTCCGTGTGTTGAGTTGGCGTCCGGTTTCTCCTACGTATGTTTTATTGCAGAGTTTGCATGGGATTTCGTAGATGACTCCACATTTTTGTCCAGCTGATATTTTGTCTTTTGGGTGCACTAGTCTGTTTCTAACTGTTGTGTATGGATTTGTTGGTGTGTTTATGTTGTGTTTTTTCATTGTTGCTCTTATTTTTTCCGTTATGCCTCTGATGTATGGTAGGGTTATCACTGGTTTTGGTTCTTGTCTTTCTGGGTTTCTGGTTCTTTTTTTGGGTTGTTCTTTGCTTTCTGTTTTTGTTTGTTGTTTTCCTTTGTTTATTGCCCATGTCGGGTATCCGCAGGTCTTTAAAGCGTGTTGTATGTGTTTGTCCTCTTGTTTACGGTCTCTCTCTTCTGTTACCATGTTTGCTCGGTGATATAATGTTCTGATTACTGACATGTTGTGTATGGTGGGGTGTTCTGATGTCCATAATAGATATTGGTCTGTGTGTGTTGGTTTCCTGTGTGTGTTTATGTTTAGGGTCCCGTCGGTCTGTCTGGTGATTTTCATGTCCATAAATGCTATACTGCCTTCTGTTTCTGACTCATAAGTGAACTTTATGTTGCCCGTGTCGTCAGTGTTGTTTAAGTGTTGTGTTAGTGTTTCTGTTTGACCTTTTGGTATGATTTCCAGTATGTCATCCACGTAGCGTTTCCATAGTTTTATTTTACAGTTTGGGGGGGCGGTGGCTATGGCTTTTTGTTCCAGGTCTTCCATGAAAAACTCGCACAGGGTGGCTGATAACGGGTTACCCATGGCGAAGCCTTCCAGTTGTTTGTATATTGTGTTGTCGTATGTGAAGTAAGTGGAGTTAGCTACCAGTCCTATCAGTTGTGCTATGTCATCTGCTGTGAGGTTTGTCCTTTTGTGTAAAGTTTTGTCTTGTCTGACTCTGTTAACTACTATGTCTATGGTTTTTTGGGTTGGTGTTTTTGTGAACAGAGATGTGACGTCATGTGAGATGAGTATGTCGTTGTCTTCTATTGTAATTTCCTTTAGTTCTTTTGCCAATTCTATGCTATTTTTGCAGTGTTGGTCTGTATTTCCTAATAACGGGCTGATGATTCTGCTGATATCTTTTGCCATGTTGTATGTTGGTGTACCTATGCTGTCAACTATTGGTCTAAGTGGGGTGTTTTGTTTATGTATTTTTGGTGTTCCATATATTCTTGGTGTTATGTTTGCTGTAGGAATCCAGTGTTTGTACATTTTTTCTGTTATTTTGCCTTTTTCGTGCAGTGGCTTCAGTAATTTTTTCATGTTTTTCTTAATGTTTTCTGTTGGATCTTTTTTAAGTATTTCATATGTATTTTTGTCCTCTAGCATCTGGTTCATCTGTTGTTTATATTTTTCTCTGTCCATAACTACTGTGGTTCTTCCTTTATCTGCCGGTAGAATAATTATCTGTTCATTTTTGGATAAAGCTGTCATGGCTGATTGTTCTTCTTTTGTAATATTGCTGTGTTGAATTTGGCTGTTTTTTAATATCCCAACTACGTTATTTCTGAGTTCTGCTTTCTTTCCCTCATCTGTGATCTGTTGACATGCTAGTTCTGTTGCTACAATAAATTCATCATATGGTATTTCTTTTGGTGTGACTGCAAAGTTTAAACCTTTCTTTAATATGCTCTCTTCTGCTTCTGTTAGTTTGTATTGTGAAATGTTACATACCCATGAGTTTGGTGTGGAGGTACCTTGTATTTCTTTTCTCTTTTTCTTGTTTATGAGTCTGTTTAACTTTATGTGTCTTTCTTTTACTTTTATGAACTCTTTTTCCTGTTTTTCCATCATGTGTCCTTTAATTAGTTCCTCCATTTGTTTATCAAGTTTGTAATTCCTTTTCAAGTCCAGGTGTCCTCTTTCCAGTTCGTCCTCCACACGCCTCTGTTTGGTTATGACCACCATAACCAATCACCAGACAGACCGACGGGACCCTAAACATAAACACATACAGGAAACCAACACACACAGACCAATATCTATTATGGACATCAGAACACCCCACCATACACAAAATGTCAGTAATCAGAACATTATATCACCGAGCAAACATGATAACAGAAGAGAGAGACCGTAAACAAGAGGACAAACACATACAACATGCTTTAAAGACCTGCAGATACCCGACATGGGCAATAAACAAAGGAAAACAACAAACAAAAACAGAAAGCAAAGAACAACCCAAAAAAAGGACCAGAAACCCAGAAAGACAAGAACCAAAACCAGTGATAACCCTACCATACATCAGAGGCATAACGGAAAAAATGAGAGCAACAATGAAAAAACACAACATAAACACACCAACAAAGCCATACACAACAGTTAGAAACAGACTAGTGCACCCAAAAGACAAAATATCAGCTGGACAAAAATGTGGAGTCATTTATGAAATCCCATGCAAAATATGCAATAAAACATACATAGGAGAACCCGGACGCCAACTCAACACACGAACAATAGAACACAGAAAGGAGTGTGAGAAAGAGGCAAATCGAAAACACACAAGAGCAGCAAAAGAAGAAGCAGAAAGTACAATAAAAAAGTCAGCCGTAACAGATCATTGTTTAAGAGAAAACCACATAATGGACTGGGATAACACACGGATCATATCCACTGAACAACAAAAATACAAAAGATGGATCAAGGAAGCAATCGAGATAAGGAGACGTGGATGTGGGACCATGAACAGGGACAACGGAGTTTACACGCTGGACCACGCATGGGACTGCATCGTCGGAGAGGGGAAAGCGGGCAGCAGAGGGCGACAACGTCCTCTGCTGCCCGCAGATAAACGGAGAAGGAAGTGACGCGCCACCATCAGCGTCAGCCTGAAGAAGCCGGCAGCCGCAGACGAAACGTAGCGGGAAAACAGGTAAACAAAACTGTTTCTGTGTTTTAAAAAAGAACGAAAGCATGGATCCTCTTTCATCGCTTGTCTTTTAAGGGGACTGGCTCTATAAGGATGTTGTTTAATTGGATGTGGATCCACAAGTTCCACATCGTGTACAGCCAAAGGGGTTTGGGTAGGTACATCATGAAACAAATCTGGATGATCATTAATGAGGAAAATCAATTCCTCTCTTATGGCAGATGACACATGCTGAAGGGTAAGGGGAAATTCTTGAAGAGCCTCAGAGTTTGACAGTCGCGGACTTATAGGTTGAACAGAAACTGGGCTGGAGTCCTCAGGGAGCTCAGGGGACAAAATCTCAGAGTAGACCGGCACACACCATGGAACTGGTCTCCCATCTTGGCCTGTAGAGTTTCAGCATGTTAATATGGCACAGCTGAGATTTTCGCCTTCTAAGCGGGGTTTTTAATCACATAATTGTGATCGTTTATTTTCGTTAGGACCTCAAAGGGCCCCTCAAACCTGGGAGAGAGAGAGGACCCACACAAGGGATTCAGAACCACCACAAGGTCTCCCACAGCAAAGCTTCTGTGCTTCGCCTTTTTGTCGAACCGTACCTTCATTTCGTTCTTAGCGTGGTGTAAGTGTTCTTGGGCTAGGCGGTTTGCATCTCTCAACCGGGCCTGAAACGTAGCAACATATTTGTTAATATGTTCACCTTCACTAGGGCCAGACCAAAGAAAGCGCTCCGTTAAGGCTTTAAGGGGTCCTCTGGGAGTGTGACCAAAAACTAACTGGGAGGGACTAAACCCCAATGACTCCTGGACCGCATCACGGGCTGGAAAAAGAACAAAGGGAAGTCCCTCATCCCAAGAATGACCAGTAGAAAAACAGTACTTCCTAAGCATGGATTTTAGCGTTTGGTGCCAACGTTCTACCACACCTTGACTTTCGGGATGGTAGGCTGAAGAGGTGACGTGTTTGATATCTAGAGTCTCAGCAACCTGCTTAAAGAGCCGAGATTTAAAATTGGTGCCTTGGTCGGTCTGTAAAACCTTCGGGAGACCGAACACCGAGAAATAGCCATTTAAGGCTTTGATGATGGACCTAGAGGTTAAAGAGGACAAAGGGAGGGCTTCTGGAAACCTAGTGGAAGAACACATGACTGTTAACAGAAACCTTTTTCCCGACTTGGTAACAGGAAGTGGTCCCACACAATCAACCACTATATGTTCAAAAGGTGTGGTAACCACAGGCACAGGATATAAAGGAACCGGGTGTATTTTCTGGTTAGGTTTTCCGACTAGCTGACACACATGGCAACTCTTACAGAATTCAGCTATTTGCTTTTTCATACCAGGCCAGAAGAAATGCTGTAACAGCAAGTTATAAGTCTTATTAATCCCTAAATGACCCGACCAGTCACTTTCATGTGCCAAGGAGATGATTCTTTCCCTGAAGGGCGTGGGTATCACTATTTGTTTAATCATTCCCCAGTCCGCGCCTTGGGCAGAAGGCTGGGACCAACATCGGAACAATATTCCATCTTCTAATTGATATTTACTCTGACCCGACTGAATATCAGCTGTAGGGTCCACTCGGTCAAATAAATCCCGTAAACTTTCATCCTCCTGTTGCATAGATGAAAGGATGTCAGCAGATATAGGAAAATTTGGGGAGTTAGCTTTCTCCTGCTTTAAACCACCCGGGGCGGGGCTTTCCTCCTTTGTCTCCATTTCAGATAGGAGAGGCTGCAACACAGAATCTTCTAGGATGATGACAGAATTGTCAAGACCTTTTTTCTGTGACCGAGTAACAACACACACAGGAAAAACATCAACAGGTTCAGGTAAAATAGGAACCTCTACCAGTTCAGGATTAGGGTTGACTTTTCCACCAGCCAAATCATTCCCCAACAACACATCTATACCTGGAATGGGCAGCTCTTCACAAATAGCCATCTGCACATCGCCACTTATAATCGGACTGTTTAACTGAATCTTATGTACGGGGCTGGGCATAGTTCCCATTTCGATTCCTTTTAATAACACAGAAAACCCAGCCGCACTAGCTTCAGAAAAGGGCAACACTCTTTTGCAGATGAGGGTCTGGGAGGCTCCAGTATCCCTCAAGATTTTTACAGACACTTTAAGATCTGGAACGTCTGGTAATGACACGTGTCCCATAAAGGTAAAGGGCTCAAAACACTGATCAGAAACATCTCTGTCCTCAAGGTGACCGACTGGAGCGGAAACATGAGACCTTTTCACAAAAGCCACACTTTTATTTCTAGGAGGACTCTTCTCATTCTTCCGTCTTAGCTGATAACAATCTCGGATTAAATGACCCTTTTCACGACAATAGAAACACTCCCTGGTTTCTCGTTTATTAGGATCGGGGGAGGAGGTTCTTCTGGGCCCGACGGGAAATTCCTGTTTTATCTCTCTCTCTGTGTTGTGCGTGAGTGAGAACTCATCAGCTAGCAGGGCCCCGGCGCACAAAGACGTCACTTTTTGTTCATTTAAATATTGAACAATCCTGTCGGGTATTTGCCTTTTAAATTCCCCTAACAGGATTAATTCACGTAGTGTCTCGTAAGAATTTACTTTACTTGCAGAACACCATTTTTCAAACTGAATGCTTTTTTCACGAGCAAACTCTGTGTAGGTTTGACCATCCAAAGGTCTTCCGCGTCGGAACCGCAGACGATAAGCTTCCGGCATAAGTTCATAAGCTGTTAATATGTTAGCTTTCACACAGTCATAATCTAGGCTATCATTTGCAGACAAAGCCGACATTACTTCCAAAGCTTTTCCAGTCAACTTACATTGCAGAAGCAGAGGCCAGACGTCCCGAGGCCACTGGAGAGCCGACGCGATCCGTTCAAAAGCCACAAAGTAGCCGTCCACTTCTGCTTCTCTAAAACTGGGCATCAGAGGAATGCATTTGCCAAGATCAAAAGCGTGATAGGAGGAGGGCGTACTGTATGTCTCTGGTGCTGGTTTTATGGATGAACGATCGTCCGGGCTCGAAGGTGGGTCAACACGGGACTCTTGTTTCACCTGGGCATCTGCTTGAGCTTGCAGCTCTAATTGTCGTATCCGCACAGCTGTGTCGGCGTTTGTCTGAAGATCCAATCGTCTCATTTCCAACTCCGCCTTTAGTTTCCTCTCTTGTGCCCGTTCCTCGGCTTCGATCTGGAGCTGGGCCAACCTGATCTTTAATCGGAGTCTCTCTGGAGAGCGGGGAGAATGAGGGGGCGAAGGCTGAGCAGGTTCACCTTCCGAAGATAGAGGTGAGGGAGGGGGCGAACCCCGAGGAACTGCAGTCTCCTCCTCACTCATTGCCGCTGGAGCACCGGCATCCGAAAGGGGCGGGATCACACCTTGATCCGTAAGAAACTCAACCACAAAAGTCCGTAGCTCCTCTTTTCGGAGTTGTTTTGGGACTTCTAGTTCGAAGTGGGCGGCCACTTGTAACAAATCGGTTTTACGGCAACCCTCCAGCAGCCGGCGAGACGGGGCCTCCACAAAAGCCCGTAAATTGAAGGAGGCCATCAGGTTTCAGTCGCCTGAGTCTGCAAAACAAAAACACCTGTTACTCACACTCACACACACGCACCAGGGGATCTTTTTAACCACAACGTTGATGTTTTATTAAATGAAATCCCGGACGAGCCCCCATTTATGTTACAAACCCTAGGTGTTAAGCGTTGTGGCAAGAGGTAACATAAAAACTGATGCGGAGAAAGGAGGGGTGAGAGTAAATAAAAGGGTTTTATTTCGCAGAAATCAACCCAAAATACACAGTCCTAGACTGGAAAAGTTCAAAATGAATGTACTTAAACAAAACACACGAAGGAGAAACTGGAGATAACTCAAAACACCTGGGACAAACGGTCCCGGGGAGGAAAACACGACAATACCTATAGATCTAGAAACGAAAAACAAAGAGCCAGAACTAACTAAAAACCAAATCTCGACGGCTATCAATATTATTACAAACACAACTTAAAGCGAGCTATAAAGCTAAAAACGAAAACAAACTGCCTCACTGGGGCAGAATCAAACAGATCTTCCAAACGAACCAAGGATACTATTTACTGTTAGCTGAAGTCAAACCAAGTCAATCCAAATTACCAAACCGAGCTAATCGAGGAGAGAAAGACAGAGGTTTAATCTGTGGTTCTCCCGCTGAGAAACTGAAACAGGAATCTTTTAAGAGCGTCTCATCAGCGGTAGATTGTCCGCAGCTGAAGCAGAGTGGGCGGGCCGAGGCGGAGGCCAGCCTGATGGAGGACCTGTCCAAGGTCCTGAACAGCAGAGAGGGAACAGGACCGGGCCATACAAGGTGCGGGAGCCCAGGATCCGTAACAATGTATATTTTTTGATTTTAATTTGATTAAACTTATTTTTTTTCTTAACGTTCTTGGCATTTTGCCCCACACAAAGTTAAACAAAACAATTTTGATTAAGGTGTGTGTGTCTGAGAGCGATAGGGAGGGTGAGAGGGAGAGAGATGGAGTTAAACATAAAAAAAAAACCCGACATGAGCGGAGGTAGTGACTGATGCAGCACATCAGCTCTGCCTTGTCAAATGCACCATGTAAGTTACGAAAAAAGTCACTTTAAATTTTCAACCGAAAAAGAGGCGAGCTGAGGAAAACCTAGGGAAACCTGAAGAAACGTGAGCAACAGTGAAGCAATCACAGCGAGATCCGTTACTGTCTGTGTGTGTGCGTGGATGAGCCGGACGGACTGTGCTCCCGGCCGGCTAGAGAGTTTTGTGTGTAGGGAGGGGCGGGCACTCTATGTGACTGGCCAATCACAGAGCGTGAAGACAGTCAGTTGCCCAATGAGGATTTTCCTTCAGCACGATTACAGATATTTACTAGGTTTACTCGTTTCATGCTCGTATTCGTCAAAAATGCTTTATCCTTACCGGATACTCGTCTGAAACGAGTATCCGGCTCATCCCTAGTAGACATGAGTCGTGTATGTGTAATGTCCAGCAATGGTCAGTTTTTGGGTACTGTTTGACCATTCAACATCTGGTCAAAATGGAGACACGAGACTACACGCGTTCCCTTTAAATCTGCCTGCCTTCATCCCATTAGCTGGAGCTCAGAGCCTCTCTGCAGCTCTGAACACATGATAACGTATTGTCAACTATGTTCTCTCCTCAAGGTCCAAGCGTCCCTTATCGTCCTACAGGATTCTTCATGCCTCTGAATAAGGAACATTTGCAGCTCGGATTAGTTGCTAAATCAAAGAATGATTTTTTAAATTAAATATGAACTTTTAAAACTTATAAGTTAAATAATCATTAAATAAACATTTGTTTATTGCTACTTATAATAATTATAATATAATGAAATGCTTTCATTAATCTGTGCTTGAGTGATTGAAGTTTGAAATGAAGGTTATGTTATGATTACACTGATTGATATATGTTTCAGCATGTTGATATGACAAGGTCATCTTCATTTGCACTCACACAAGGACAAAGTAAATTTAAGTCAAACGCGTGACACATAGATAGCCCGTTACCCCAGATCAGAGCATCCGGTATCAAGGAAGGCGTGTTTCTGAGGTTGTCTCGGTAATATTCCTCAACATGTCAACCTCTGGTTGGCTACACAAATCATAACATGAGAATACAAAAACGGAGCTCACATTACGGTGACTCAGTTCTTGAGAAAGCTTCAGACAGGCCATCTGAAGCAAAACCTCTCTAACCCATCAAAGCTTTTGACACGCCATCAAAATCTTTTGCACCTGCGAAGCTGATACAGCTAATGGTTCCTGCACAAGCTGATATTGCTCCGGACTCCTTAAGAGTCCCCGGTGCGCAGTTCCATCCATCTGTCGTGACCCGAGACATCTGTGGACTGAAGAGTCGGTACTATGGTTTCTACAGCCCTCGGTGCCAGAGGTCATCCGACCTCTCCGACCTTCGGATCCACGAAGAGGGTCTCAGAGAACGGGTGAAGTAGACACACAGATAGCGTCTGATGCCTTTTGATAATAATCAACTTCATAGCTTAACGCAAACCAAATTCTTTTACATCCAGAACTCAGCTCTCCTAGACACGGAAGTTTTGATAACATTGCATTCACACATAGGCACCATACACTACACCTACTCCTTCTAAATTCATCCACCACAGTTAATATTAGTTAACCTGTAATGTTTTAATTGTTAGTGAATTAAATTCTTACTTTTACAAACCTGACTCTTTCCTGAATCAAAACAAAGTGTTTACAATCCCTGAATAAAACAAAGAATCCTAGAATCTTCTGATTAAACACAGCAGCGCTGGACTGGCCATAGGGCATAGCGGGCAACTGCCCACTGGGCCGACCCTTTCATCTTTTATGGGCCAGTGTCTTTTTTTTTTCTGGCCTCTAGTTGTTGCGGACAACTTGTCCGCGCCGCCCCACGCGATGCCTCGTAAAAGTTGGTGGATTGGCCAATTGGTAATAATACACTCTGGGCCGGACCAATAGCCAGAGGTCTGATGCACCCGCCAGTTGTTTGTGAATCTCAGTAAACAGACAGACGAGCTTTACAAAATGGAGAACAAAAAACAGAAAGGAGGAGCGGAGAAAATTCGACTAAAAAAGAAACTGGCCCTTCAGGCTGATGCTGGCACATGTGTTAAAATCTCACAGTTGTTTGGTAGTGAAGGTTCAAGTAAAATCAATTTAGGAAGTGATGGAGCCTCAGCCCAGCGACAGGTTGGAGAAGAAAAGAGGGAGGAGGAGGAGAAACCCGAGCCAGTGTTGTGCCATAAATCGACTCGCTGCCAAAAAATGATTAGCCACCGCGGGATCGCGCACGGTGAGGTAATTGCATTTCTAGACGAAATTCCCCAGGATTTCGCCCTAAAACTCAGCATATCTAGCAACATGGACATTCAGAAAGCAAAGATAACCTCTTCCGGTACTTAAACAGATGCTTATCGCGGATATTAGTTTTTCCAGTTCGGAAGTTGTTTTAAGTGTCGCTATTTGTCTTAAACGTTCACAATGAGGATATATTAATCCTTTTTGCAATATTTGCGATTGAAAGATGGTTTGTGGTAAGAACTGGCTTTCTTTGTGTTACAGCCTTGATACTAAAAAAATAAATAAACAATGTTAAATGGCACCCTGTATTGAATGTAAAAGTTGTATAAATGGAAATAAACAATTCTCCAGCGATTAAATTTTTTCCCCTTCCTTTCTTTAGTCCACTTGACATGGAGCCACAGTTAACTAGTTTGGGGCACATTTTTACTTGAAAAATAGTATTTAAACTGATCAAGCTTTGGCTTTACAATGACACTGTGTAGGTTACTATCTATACATTACGTTGCTCTATTTAAAAGTAACAAGATAAAAGCACTTCAGCACATAAAATTAAGATTGTCACTTGCCAAATAGACTACACCCTCCCCTTTACCTATAAGAAACGCCTCAAAATATCTTTAAATTCTTTATTGATGATTTAATTGTAGACAACTAAAATGGCATTTTACTTGCCAAAAAGTGATTGAATCGCTCACATTTTCATGGAGGCTAAAATTGACCAAATAAGGGTTTTATGTATTATCTGTTGATGTTATTGTACTCATACTGTCTACCGTATCATCATAAACACCCCAAAAATGGCATAAAAAAGAAGATCATTTCCTTTGCCAAAAATTGATTACAGTGTCCTGGTCACCTGTAAAGGGTTAATTTTACCTAAATATTACTTTATTTATTATCTCTTGGTGTTATTAGTGCCATCACAGGATGCTGGGTGTCTTCCACATTCATAAAAACCTCAAAAATGGCAACAAATGATCATTTCCCTTGCCAAAAATTGATTACAGTGTCCTGGTCACCTGTAAAGGGTTAAATTTACCTAAATATTACTTTATTTATTATCTCTTGATGTTATTAGTGCCATCACAGGATGCTGGGTGTCTTCCACATTCATAAAAACCTCAAAAATGGCAACAAATGATCATTTCCCTTGCCAAAAATTGATTACAGTGTCCTGGTCACGTGTAAAGGGTTAAATTTACCTAAATATTACTTTATTTATTATCTCTTGATGTTATTAGTGCCATCACAGGATGCTGGGTGTCTTCCACATTCATAAACACCTCAAAAATGGCAACAAATGATCATTTCCCTTGCCAAAAATTGATCACAGTGTCCTGGTCACCCGTAAAGGCTTAAATTGGCATAAATATTACTTTATTTATTATGATGCTGAGTGTGTTCCACAATCATATTCAAATAAACATGAAAATATTCCGTGCAAACATCTGTTACTTGTTATAAATATAACAGCTAGAAGGATTTACAGTTAAAATAGGAGAAACATTTCAAGAAACTATTGTCAATTAACCACAGAAATAGGGACTAATAACATCAAGAGATAATAAATAAGGTAATATTTAGGTCAATTTAACCCTTTACACGTGACTCCCCAGGAAGGGTCGTAACACCACTTGCTTCATGCACATAAGTGACCAAATCAAAGCAGCATGGAGACACTCCGTCTCCAGCCACCTCTCAGGCAGCAG